TTTAATAGTTTATAAAATTCAGCCTGAAAGGTAGTTCATAATCAGAATGATTACAGGGTGGCCAGACAACTTTTGATTATATTTTCCCTGACTTTTTTCTGACTAAAATGAAATTTCTCTGTATGACAAATGTAAATTCACAAAATGTAGAAAAAAAGCAAACAGTTTTTAAAAATGTTTGCTTTGAATTAATAAACATTTTTAAACAAAAAAAGAAAATATAAAGTAAATAAATAATATGATTTGAAAGCAAATAAATAATATGAGTCTCTGATAAGCAAAAAATGGTAAAGTATAACTACATCTGTCCATCAACATCTGTGGAGAAGTCCAAGATCATATGTACACTGTTTTCCAAGATCATCTGTAATTTTCTTTCACTCTAATAACATCTGTTCAATGCAATCTGAAAATTCAACGACTCAAAACATTATTTTTAGAAAGATATAACTATATCTGGTAACTTTTTTCTAAGTCCAATAATATCTGGATGAATTTTCTCCAAATGTAGTTACATCTGAAAAAATTTCTATATGTAACTACATTTGGTTAAAATAATACATTATTAGTTAATTTTTTTTCCAGATGTAGTTACATCAAAAAGTATATTTAATAAAATCTGGGTAAAATAATGCATTATTAGTTAATTCATCTTAAAAATAACTTCATATTAAAATCTACAGATGTAGTTGTACAAATGTTATTACACTTTCATAAATTAAAAGTTACTGCATCTGTAATATTCGTTTAATTTTTGAAAAAATTTTATTAGACACTAATGAAATTTCAGATGTTGTTGGGCAGATGTTAATAGACATGGTAAAAACTAATGTTGTTACCCTGACCCCAAAAAATTTATATTTTCTTTATTAATTCCATCAAAATTCCCTGAATTTTCCTGACTTTTTCAAAATTTAATATATTCTATGATTTTAATCTGACCTTTTAAAATAGCTTAGAACTTATGTGACTTTTCAAGAATATGAAGCAGATGTAAACAATCTACCACTGTTTATTTTTTTACCTTAACACATTTAAAAAAAAAAAAGTTATCATAGCAACAGGCAAGTGACTTCCAGTTAGCCAACATACCGTAATAGTGGCAAGTGTTATTTTTTATTAAGGAGGTGATGTTTTTAATTTCTTGCTAATTTTTTCAATTGTATTTAGGGTTGTGGAGGAAGTTGTAACTGTTGGAAGTGAAATGATTATAAAACACACTGGTCACATGTCCTCAAAATTTAATATAACAAACTTGTTAAACTCTTTAAATCATTAAATAAACAAAGTTTTTGCCCAGATGAAATAAACGAGAGGATATGAAAAAGGAAGGTAGGATGGGGATGTTGATAAACAGGAGGGTAGGAAACTTTATTTTATTTCCATAAGTGAGTTTATATTATTATTTATATTATTATATATTATAATTTGAACATGTTTTTTTTCCTGTTTAAGAAAATAATACTTTTTAACTCTTTGTAACTCACCAGACCATATAACTGACCAGATACCAGACTACATTAAAAAAAAATCATACTACATCAGCACTTTTAAACTCGCCCTAGTAAAATTGCAATAAAGGTCAAAATTGCAGGTGTTATTTTGAAATTTAAATATTTTAAGTTGTTTCATTAAATTCAATTTCTTAAAATATGTAAAAAAGTGTACATATTTTCAGCATTCTATTGCACATAGACCAAAACTATTTTTCAATATAGCATATTTTTATTGGTTCATTGCAAGGTTTACATAGTTATATATCTTTGAAACCATTTGGAATTAGATTATGATGTTTTGGAGATGTTCATAACTTATTAAAGTTTTTGAGTGGTGTAAAAGTCAGAAAACTTTGAGACTAAGGGTTGCATAGCCAGGATGTTTTTACCAAGAATTGACCCTAAATGAAACAAAATATATTTCAAAATAAATCTCTTAAACAAATTTTATTCACATCATGTTTGTAAAACAAAAGAAAACTTTTAAAAAAAATTCATGTGAATCTTTAAAAATTATTTTTGTCTATTATCTATTTATTCTTGAAATATAGATAAATTGAAATTAAAAAACAATTTTAAAATTTTTAACAGCTACTGTTTTGTTTTTTGGTAATCATACAGTTAAGCGGCCTAAAATAAGTCTTATTTTGCTTATTGCACTCTTGTAAGCCTTTTTAAACATAAAGGATTACTTACTTTTAAAAAGCACATAATGTTTTCTGAATTATATTTAAGTTTTGTGCTTTTGTCAATCACATTATTTTGATAATCAGACTGAATATCATGACATGACCCTGCAAAAACTTCTGTCAACAGAAATTATCTGCAATTATCATTTTTTTATAACAGTAAAATAAACTTACTCTTCACCAAATTGAAAAATTAATTTCTAGGTTTTTTATTATGGTGTGAACAAGCATCATAATCAACTGATGCAGATTTTATAAGATCCTTACAATAAAATTATCATATTTGCTTACAAAAAAAAAAAAATTCCAAGCTTATGTGAGGTTTTTAAGATTTGTAAGTTTTAACTCAAATGTACTATTAATTTTTGCAGCATTAGTATATTTATTAAGGTAATAAAAAGTTTTAAAATTTAGCAAATTTTTATGGTATTCTATTATTCTCCTGATGGAATAACAAATATTTTAAACACTAATATTAACACCATTGTCTAATTATATAAATAATTTAAGTAAATAATAAATCTATGATCAAACAATAAGTTACATAAAAATATGTTTAAATTTTATAATTACCAGCAGAAAAGTTTAAATTTTGAGTTGTTGGGAGTGATAAAGTTACGCTGATGTTTGTTCCTTGAGTTATAATTAAATAACAGAAATCATTTGTTGAAACTGTTGTTGGAATTATATGCATGCCACCAACATTTTCATTGATTTGAATCCAACTAGTTACGGTATATGGGTTTGTAAAGTTATTACCAATTATTTCAGACCATTTCTGGAAACCAGGTAAATAAAAATGTGTATTCACTGTCATACCATTAACATTTAGAGCATATGATAGTAAGTCATTTGGTAATGGTCTCACATATACACTCGATGGTTCGGCTTTTTTTTAAAATAACAATAAAAATCGTAAATATACAACTTAATAACCACTGATTCATATAGAATAAAACATTAATTTAATGTAAAGATCTTGTCATCGATAGTTTCAAGTCATTTAAATTGTTCATGAAATAAAAGAGAGGAAGAAAAAAATTGCAGCTTAATATTATTGCTATTTTTATTTTAAAAACTTTTTTTAAACATCACATGTTATTTTATAATATTTACACATTCATCAAAGTTCAAAATATTTATTTTTTAAATGATTACCTGTTAATATATTTGTTTTTATTTGAACTTCATCATCAACAAGTGCAATAGCAGGATTATATGTAATATTCCACTCAACAATACCTGATGAGAGCAATAAAACTTCATAACTACTTAAAAAACAATTGGAATCATTGTTGTTATTGAAGCATGTACTTCTAACACAAGGACTTTCAAGTTTTGATGTTTCTAATAATGGAAGCGAAGCATTTCTACAGAAGCATAGCTCTCCTTCGAGAAAAAAGCTATAACTGAACACTCCTGGTGGTGTAAAAGAATTACAAACATAAACACAAGCCAAAATGTCTTTGACAAAGTAACCAGTTGCTGTTAACTGAAAATCTGTAGAGCTATCATTTATGCAGCCAGAAGACACTTTTAAAAAAATATATTATAACTTAAACAAAAATTTCAATTTTAACATAGTAACATAGTAATGTATACAATTAACATGACATTTCTTGATGAGTATATATATATATGAAACTTTTTAAATTTAAAAGATATGTTGACAAATAGCATAAAGCAATGTATAAATTATGTAAAAGTAATGTATAAATAACGTTATATATTAAACATAAAATCAAGAGATATAAAATTACAGTGTTAGCATGATATATTAAGTAACACCTTAAATGATATACATTTAACTAAGAACAATGTTATACTATACCAGGTTATACTTGAATTGCGCATAATGTTATAATGTAAGTAAAGTATGTTAATAAATTTAAATCTTTCATGTTTTTCTTCAATAATTCTATCCTTTTCAACATTGTTTTGTAATTTTAAAGCTCTTCCTGACAAATCAATAAAATTTAATCTTTTAAAATACTTATGTTAGTCCAAACTTTTTCCTATATGACTGCTTGAAACATATAGCAACAAACTGAATTGAAAATTTATAAAATCTTTTAAAATAATTTTATCAAAATTGTATTTTTGTAAATGGGATAATCAGCCTTCTATCTAACAAGGTGTAAAAAGATTTGATCGCATTATTGTATTTCTTTCTTTATGTTTTCTTTATTTTACAAACATGCGTAGTATACCTAACAAACATAGTCACTACTTTTATGAACTTATTAATTCACCTAACTTGAAAAACAACCAAATTATAAAAAACTTAAATCATACTGTAAAATCAAACTGTAAAAAATCAAACTGTAAAGAGATTTACAATTTTAAATTAGTTTGCATCCCATTATATTGGTTTAAAGTTGATTACTAATTTGTTTAAACTTGGCAACTCTGTCCTTTGTGTCGTCTTGTCTACTTTGCTTAACCAATTCCAATTCCAATATGTAGCATATTTTATTCAGTCTTTATTTTAACCCTAAAAATTGATTCCAATTAACATTTAATATAAGATTTATAATAAAATTTTATAGGCAAATAAGAACTTATGTTTTTTAGATAGTAAAGTATATAACCTCTATTTGTTTTAAACTATTTGTTTTAAACTTTTGTTATTTGATTTTTTTTTTACTATTTAATTACTTTTGTTTTAAACTAATTTTAAGCAGAAATAATATATTTTTTTAATTTAAGTAATTTTAAGCATAAAATCATATCAAAACTGTTTCAAGTAGCCTAAGACCTTGAGTATGACTTTTTTAATACCTTGAGTATTTCAGTATTTCAAGTTTTTAATTTTTTTTAAAATATTAAAATTCAAAAGTGTTATATTCGTAAGGGGTCGTTCATAAAGTAAGTACGCCAAAAATTTTGGATTTTTAACCCCCTTCCTCCCACCTTTGACCCACAGCCCTCTCCCCCCTCCCTTAAAAAATAACTTTGTTTTTGAATACCACCCCACCCTCGCCCCGTCTTCCTTTCCCCGATAAACATTTTTAAAAGTTTATGGAAAATAAAAGATGGAGGAGGTACATTAGATACTTTATATGACCCAAAAGCTCTTTTTTTGCGGTACAGGATCCCAATTTAAAGTATCTTCAAATATATATGCAAATATTACTTTTAATAAAGTTAAATTACGTGTAAGCAATAAGTTTGCTTGATCGGGCGGGTAATGACTATGGTGACGGAGACCCGAGTTCGATCCCTCTTCGCGTCAACTGTGCTTTACTTTGTTTTAATGACGAATCAAATAAAAATAAACTTTACTTAAGGCGTACTTTTTTTTCAGACACCCCTTTTCTGTACGTCCGTAAAAAATGAGTCCTATGCGAGATCAGTAATATCGAAAACAAAGCCTAAAACCCAGTGCCGAGGATTGGCTACTCGTAACCCTATATTTGAGAGAGGAGGGGGTTTGTGTGGATGGTGGCAGAAAATTTTGTACCCTTGCTAATTTAAGGAGTTTTTTAGTTTAGAAAAACCTAGTGGTCAAATTTGGGAGATTTTAAGTCCCAAATGACACGTTTTTTTGGGAAGGCCTCACTGCTAAAACCTGTTTTTTGTCAAGTTAAAAATAGGTTGCCTGAAATACGCCTTACTTAGGGCCAGTATATAGGGGTGGAATGTGTGCATGTGCGCCCGCAGGATTTTTAATGTTCTAGATAGGATACTTTCACGCATTTAGCATAGGTATACTTAAGTTTAGAGCTTGCTCAAGCTTTAAAGATAAGTAGCCTATGGCGAATATATGAAATTTTTGCAAGCTATAAACTATAAAGTTTGCAAGCTATAAACTATAAAGTATAACTATGCCAAATGAAGTTTTGCAAAAAAATGGGATAGTGAAGCCCTGGGAACAAAAAAAGCCCTAAACACTTGCCCCTACCCTGCCTAAGCGTGAGGGCAATGTAGTAAAATTTCAACTTCACTTTCTAAAACTAAATCTAAATTTATCAGCAGATTTTAAGTATCGCAGAAAAATATTGTAAATTACAAAAGTTATGACCATACAAAATTACACCCCTTCTTTTTTTTTTTTTTTAAGGAGTGGGGGGGGGGGAGGGCGTTTTAGGGCTTTTTTGCTCCCATGCCTCTGCCTTCTTAATTTTTTGCAAGGCCTCCTCATTTGGCATAGATATAAATCTACTTAAGTTTGAAGTTTGCACAATGGTGAAAGTGTCCTATCTGGAATATCAAAAAGTTCTACGGGCCCTTATGCATGTGTGTGCTTTAAGGAAAACTATACCCTCTACTCCCAATACCAAACATCTTTTTATGTTGGCAAACTAGAATCTTTAGTCAGAACTTTAACTTTTTTTATTGATTAGCTAGTTAATTGTAATAGATTAGACAATTGTTGTACGTACTTTTAAATTGAACCCTTCCCCCTCCCCATACGCTTACGTACGCTTTTTGAAGACCTCTCCCCTCCCCCTATGAGCTTACGTACTTTATGGACGAACCCTAAATACTTATGCGATAGCGGTGTGGTGGTAGAGCATTATTCATAAGCGAGAGGTTCTGAGTTCGAGTCCCATCATGCCCTTGGAAATACCACATCCAACTTGCTTCGCCACGTAGATGTGAACTCAACGTTCTTTAGGCAAATAAGTAAAACTTAAATCGAAAGTTTTTTAAAAATCTCATATTTGAAAATCTATATCTAGGTTTTAAATGAAATGAAATAAACAGATTTTTTTTTCTTTATACAGAATTTAAAACTTTATAAAATCTTGTACTGAACTTCTTTAAGATTTTACACAGTTGATTTGCTTGAAAATGTTTATTAATAAAATTTAAAAATATCCTTAATTTTATAAAGTGTTTTTTTATAAAGTCAATAAATATTCTACAAAACATGTTTTTTTTACTAAAAGTTAATAGGTACTGTACTTAATAAGTAAAAACAAACAAAAAAATTATACGTTGGTAGTAATAGATCTTTTTATCTATTTCATTGAGTTTAAAGAATTCCAGCACCGAGAAAAGTTTTTGCTTTAATATATCTTCATTTTGAAGATATATTAAAGTTTCGTTAATTTGAAGAAGGTTGTTGGATTGCTCTAGAAATTAAAAGTTTGTTTCCGAAATTAAAAATGCTGTTTTCTCAGTGTTTGATTTGATAAAATTTGCAACTCTATAGGTTTGAAATCGGTCAATCAGTTCTTGCAGATAAGAGGTTGCAGGACTTATCTGAGAATGCATTGCTGTGACTAGCGTCCACTATGTATTACTTAATAAAAAAACAAAAAACAAAAAAGCCTCCTTAAATTTTGAAAAGAGCCTTAAAATTTGTGACCCCCTTCCCCTATCAAGTGTGGGATAACCTAGCCACGGCTCTGTGAGTATGCAATGATACCTGTGTAGGTAGTATTTATTGTTGATCCTACTTTGCATTTTGAAACTACTTCAATTAAGATATTAAGAACTACTTCATTTATATATTAAGGTGGCTTCACAGGAAATAAAAGGTGTAAAATCAAAAAAAAAAAAAAATTGAAAAGTATGATTTTTGAGAATTTTAACATGAAAATGATGGTATAACTATTTTTTAATAATTTCAATTTTATAAGCTACTATTTTGCATTTTGTCAGGTATTATATGAAGTAGCTTCCTTAGCAACGGAAAAAAGCAGAATGAAAACTTTTGTTTAACAACTGTTTTTATATGTTTTCGTGTTTTTCAATAATAAAAGATTTAGTTTAGAGGCTAACTATGTTCATTTTCAAAAATAAAACCGTTTTACTTATTGAAATTGCATCATTTCACGATCATTTGATAACTTATTTCTTGTGACAAAACCATTATACTAACACAAGTTGTGTTAATAAAATGTTTACCTGAAATTAAATATACAATAAGTAATTATAAGACAACAAGATAACATAACTCAATTAGTACTCAATAATAAAACTGCAATAAAACAAAGTAAAATAAACACTAACAAAACAAAAACTCTATAATAACATAACTCATAAGTCAAGGTAACAATACTTCAAAATAAAGGAAAAAATACAGATGCAGATGAAAACAATTCTCCTAAGTTTAACTTGACTGAATGGATTTATGAAACTATCAAGAAAGACTTTAATGAATTAAGTAACAACAATTTATTGAAAAAATGTCTTTATGGGCTAACTCAAAATTGTAATGAATGACTAAATAATATCATTTGGTCCCGATATCCTTAAAATTTTTATTTAAAGACAGATTTTCTTGAAATGGGAGTAAACTCAGCGGTTCTTTATTTCTATGAAGATTTGTTTGCTATTTATTGTGTATTTAAACATTTAAATCAAGACTTAGGAAAAAATACGATAATCAGTTCAGTAAAAAAAGACCAAAAACGGTTAGAGAATATGGTAAAAAAAAGAGAACTAAAAAAAAATAAAGAAGAAAAGAATTGAGAGGAATTAGGAAAGGTTGAATTGATTTAAGTTATTTTACTAAAAAAAATATTTCCTGTGAAGCCATCTTAAGGTGTTAACTTTATAGTATCTCCAGTTTCTTGTAAAAAAATTAGATGAACTTTAATTTGAAAGTAACGGAAAAGTTATTAGTTTTATTTAATGTGTTGAAAAGGTTTGACCCTTGACCCTTGGTTACACGCTTTTATTTACCAGTGAAACTTTTTATTCAAATTCTTTGAAAGTTGATATACTTTTGAAGAAAAAAAAATTATTTTCAAAAAGTAAATAAACCAACCACATTTCAATTACTTTCATAATAAAGTTCATGTATTTTTTATTCAGGAAACTGGAGATACCAAAAATTTACCTAAAACTCAACACCGTAATATTTTATTTGTATAAAATAGTTTCAAACAAAAAATATTTAAACTATACTTTTGTATTCTTAAGAGAATCAAGTGGGCATAAAACTATCTAGAATACATTAACATCGACGTCCCAACTTCACTAAGAAAAACAAAATCACAAATTGAATTTATTGATATTTTTATAAGTTTTCGAAATCAAAAATTTGATAAATCATTCTTTGTAAGATGTATCAAATATTTACTAATTTACCCACTTTAACTAATTTTTTATCTTCACCTGTATTAATTATAAATTAGGGCTCATTAAAATTATTTATGATAGAGTTTTCAATGGTAGCAGCAATTGGAATATCTTTCATCGTTTAATAATTACCAAGATAAATTACTATTACGCAAAAATAGTTTGTCCAATTAGTACAAAAACTTTGTTTCTTTTTAGTATAGTTCCCAGCAACACTTATACACTTGTCCCGTCTTTCGGCTAATTTGTAAATTTCCTTGGGATAAAATTCTTTGGGTTGATCTTGAAGCCAATTTTGCACCTAATTTTTTACCTCTTCACTATATTAAAAATGTTTCCCTCGTAGACCCTTATTAAGGGGTCCAAACAGAGAAAAGTCTGATGGAGCAAGATTGGCATTATATGAAGATGTAAAAAAATCTCTCACCCCAGTTTTTGAAGTTTTTTTTATGTCAGTTGTGTAGTATGTGGACGGGCGTTGTCAAAAAAGGAAAACAACGCTTTTATTTAATAGCCCGCGACGTTTCGTTTAAATGGCAGGTCTTGCCTTATTTTCCAGCATGTCACTTTTGGACTAGCTTTTGAATGTTTTTTGGACTTGAAGTCCAACAAACATTCAAAATACTGCAATAAACAGAACACTGCATGTCTTTGCCGACCAATGGCTGGGTCCTGAATTTTTTCCGAATGGGAAAAGACATATGCTTCCACTAAAGGCTCTGGCATTTTAAATCTAGTTCATAATGATCCATGTTTTATTACATTTTAGAATTATTTAAAAAAAATTCCAGTTCAATCAATTATTGATGTTTCAACTGTTGACTGATTTGAAGCCGGGTTTCTTCGTGAGCGTCTGTGAGCTGTTTGGGCACCCATCTTACTCAGATTTTCTTGCATGTACTGCAGCTTGTTGTCAATATTGCAGCTTGTTGTGAATAATTTTATGGATAGTTTTAACACTTGCATTTATATTATCACATATCAGTTCAATAGTGGTTCGTTCATAGTTTTGATTTAACGCGTCAATCTAAGGTTTGAGAGAAAAAGTCCTAATTTTGACCGGTCGTCCACTGCGTCTCCGCAGTGGACACTTCTCACCTTCCGCAACTAAAAATCTGACCACAACAGGTTTTTCTTCCACGATCCAATTCTTAAGTGGGCTCGCTCCCGTTAACTGAATAAATTTGAGGTCATGATTACAAAATATAATTAAACAGCTGCTCAGATGTCATCGCAAGGTTGCCAACTCTACGTCCTAAAAAATTCATACAGATCAATGCAATCGTTTTTTAGTAATGAAGAATGTTTTTATTAATTTTTGAACGACCCTCGTAAATTTAAATAAATAAACAAATAAATCAAAACTATTCTTTTTCTCTCAACTTATTAGATAAACCTTTAAAACCTTCACTAAACAGTTTTATATCTCCTAAAGAAATTATACACTCACATTCACACAAATCTTAAATACATTTTTACATCAATTAAATAAATATATAGAAAAATATTTAAAAAAAAACTTAAATAGTCATGCCATCTTTCAAAATGTTCTTATTGAAAGACCCTTCACCTAATAATCTGAAATTTTTATTGTATATAAATTTCTATCAAACTTATTTAAAATAAAATAATGTGTAAGGTTTTCAATAAAAGTTTCTTTATATAACCTTATAGGTTTTTAGCTTAGGGCAAGGGTTCAAAATTAGCGTTTATTTAGGGTAAGAGTTCGAAAACAGTGCTGGCTTAGTGCGAGCACTGTTTTCGAACTCTTACCCTAAATAAACGTTTACTCCGTACTCCCAAAAGCAGGATTTTAGAATTCTCACAAAAGTATCCTTAAAAGAAGGATACTTATTTCGTGAGCTAAATTTTATTTTTCAAAAAATTAAGATTCAATATTTAGTTTATTATATAAAATCAAGTTTTCTAAAAAAAAATTTAAAATGATGCTTAAAAAGGCTTTACTCAAAAACAAAATTATACATTGGAAAACAACAATGTGAGATTTTATTTAAAAAAAATACAACGTTATTCATACCTATCGTGTTCTGTAAAACCAAATGACACATCAATAATAGCAATGCGTTCTTCTAAAAAAAAATAAAAAAGCATGTTAACAATGAAATGCTTCGTTTTTTATTATTTATTACATTTATTTCTATTTTGTTGTTTATGCTGTTTTTTTTCTCTGTTTTTTTTTTAATTTATCAAATGAAAACCTATTACATTTAATTTGGTTTATACAGTTCAAAGGCTGATACAACTTCTTTTAAAAAGGGTATTTACTTTAGAAAAGTTCTGTTTTACACTTTAAAGTAGAGGCGAGCCCTTTTACCCGACTTTTGGATTCATTTTTCTTTCTAACCATATAAACAAGAGCTTCCTTTTTTAAAATTTGCTAAGCTAAAAATCTTTTGCGTTTTATTTTAAATACACCGCCATCCAAAATCAAATTTTAATTTAACAAAACTTCCCCGTCGACTCTTCTGTCTGTTGAACTAAAAACAAAAGAAGGCTATCATCTAGCTATTAGAAATTCTTGTATTTTACAAAGTGACTATATTTCAATATGCCTAGAAATAAGTTTTTCCGATTGAACAATGTTTAACAATTTATATATATAAAAAAAGATTAATTGAACTACAGAATAATAACACTCTGGATCAACCCTTTCGTTTTGTCGTCCGAGGTAACAGGGTTCGTTCGTTCGTTCCAAATCAAAAAAGTATTTACACCGATGGGCATCAATCTATTGCAGCAACTAAATATTATTGCTCATAATAATACCATATCAAACTCTAAGCAGATAAAAGCAACTACAAGCCACACAGTATTCTATCCAACCTATCTAAGGTATATGAAAGATATACCCTTACGGAAATATTCCATGGAAAACCTATGGAATTCCATGAGTAAACCATGGTTTTCCCATAAAAAACTGGACTTTCCATGGGTGAATTTCATGAAAATTGAAATCTCAAGGAATTTCCATGATTTTTTTTTTTCATAGCTTATGCTGCGCCATGGTTGTTACGAATGCGCTTTTAAAGATGGCGTCATAGCTCGTACAATTACAATTACTTTTAACTTGAGTAAACAATATATTGTTTAATAGTTTGAATCATATAAATGTGATGCATTATAACAAACATATCATTTATAGTCTTATTAAACACAGAAAAACAGAAGAATGCAGTAAGTATTAATACTTACCGCATTCTTTAATAAGACTATAAATGATATGTTTGTTATAATGCATCACATTTATATGATTCAAACTAAACATACAGACATAAGCAACTAAATATATTTATCATATTGTAATGCATTATAAAATGGATTATTTTTAATTATATTTAATTTTATATCATTTATGCATATACTTATTTTAACTGTTTCCAGTAGCTTTGCATAACTTGCAATAGTTTAGCAAGTATGTCAAGTAAACCAATTTGAATTTTAATGCTTACTTGGCAAATTATTTGCCAAATAACTATTATTTGGTTTACAACAAATAAACGTTTAGTTTTAATCTACATTAAATAACAAGTGTATTAAATTACATAGTGTAATCTAATGTACATTAAAACTTATATAATAACTATTATAAAACTTATATAACATATTAATAGGTACGCGGAAATAGCGATTTACCGAGCCGAATTTTGTGCTAAAATTCTGTGACTCATTTTTTTGACGTTTTTTTTAGGTAGCCTAAGGCAAACGTATTTTTGAGGAGTTTCTTTTTAAAAACATATAAAACATAGTATATTTTTGGAAAGAAGAAGAGTTAACCTTGTTTTTTATGCTATTTTTACACACGGTTGTCTTACCATTTTTTGCAGCATTTGGCTCATGAAAAATAGGTTGGTGTTTACTTGTCAAATTCTTGTCGAAGGACTCTTTATTTTTATTTTTTGATTCTTTAAATAAGTTTTTACATGCATTTTCTTTGCACATACCAAATTTTATTGAAAAATATTATGTAGCAGATAGTTAAATTAGTTAACCACTTTTGGTACCTAATTTCTGTTTTTCCGATTTTTTTTTAGCGGATTTCCCGTCTCATTTTTTTGAGTAGGGTTAGACAAACGATTTTTTGTTGGGTTTTTTTTCAGAAACATATATACACATAGTATATTTTCAGAAAGAAGAAGAGTTAGGCTTGTTTTTTGTGTTATTTTTTATATGATTGTCATACCTTTTTTTTGACTATTTTGCTCATGAAAATTATGTTGATGTTTACTCGTTAAATTATTGTTGAAGGAATCTATATTCCGCTTTTTTTATTTTTTAAATAAGTTTCTACATGCATTTCCTTTGCACCTGCCAAATTTCATGAAAAAATGTTATGTAGCAATTAGTTAATTCAGTTAAACACTTTTGGTACCTAATTTCTGTTTTCAAAAATAGCCGAGGTGGGGCTGAGGGGGAGAGAGTTTTTTTTTTCTTCAAAAAGGCTTATTCCATATTGTTTCACTTAGATTGTTAGTAATTAAAAAAATGAATGGTATAAATGAACTGGGTAATCAAACAAATAGTAAGTTTATATGTTTTTTCATAATAATATTATTGTTTATTACTTTTACAAGTATTTTTTTGTTAAACTTTTAAAAATCATTGACTTGGTAAAACCTATTCAATACTTTTTTTTAAGTTACCCCTAATTTTTGTTATTTACGTCTTTATTTTATTTGTTATTTACACATTACTTTTCTTTGCTCATTACAAAAATGTTTTAATGGATTTGTTGCCAAAAATGTGTATTTTTTTTTTTATATTACACCTTTTTTAACTTTAGCTTCATCGTCATCTGATGCAGTTGGTAAGTTAAATAAGTATTTTTTTATTAGGTGTTTCTACTTATTCTTTAAAGCTATACTATAATTTTAATACCTTTTTTTATTTCATTTGATGACACCTTATTTTTCTTTTAGTTTTATCAATATCTCCCAATGGCAACATTTTTCAGATCTGTAAAAAGTTATGTCAAAATCAAAGTTATTTTGGTTAATATTTTTACCTTTAGCTTTGTTACCATCTGCTATGGTTGGTAAGTTTAAAAACTTTTTTTTTAAACATCTATATGTAAAGATTTGTTGGCAAAAACTATGTATGTTTTGTTCTTTACATTTTTTTTTACCTTTAGCTTTATCTACATTGAGAACATTTGGTATGTTAATCTTTCATGATTTATCTATTGTATAATACTTAGTCTTTTGATTACTGTTTAAATCATTACATAAATATTTCTAATGTTTTCTTCTTGTTTAGATGCAGGCTTACTATTTCATTAGTTTTTGAGATTCCGTAAGTGATATATGATAGTGATGTATAGTGATATGATAGTGGTGTATAGTGTATAGAAATGATATGATAGCGATGCATAGGTGTATAGATATGATAGTGATGTATAGGTGTATAGATATGATAGTGATGTAAAGATGTATAGATATGATAGTGATGTATAGATACGATAGTGATATACAGTATGATAATACAATATGATAGTAATGTATAGATGCATAGATATGATAGTGATGTATAGATGTATAGATATGATAGATAATAGTGACATATAGGGATGACATGAACAATATAATCTTTAATGTTATTCATAATAAAATAAACATTTTGATGCCTTAAAAGTTTTTTAATACAAAAGATATCTTTTTTTTTAATATTTCTTTTATTGTTTAAATCATTATACAACCTTTCTTAATGTTTACTTGTGTAGTTATGTTTTCATTATATACTTTATAAAAAAAGTTGTTGCACATTATGCAGAACTTGTTTGATTGTTGTTACTTATTCACTTACTGTTATCAAATTTAAGGTGTTTTTTTTATTTTGATATACAGTTTTCTTGTTAATTTTAGTCTAATCAACTCAGCCTTGCACTGGTAAGTTTGTATATTGCAGTTTTGGTCATGTTTATATAAGTAGAAATTTAAAGATGTATGCTTTGGTTTAATTCATATGTTTTTTATCTTAAGTCATTTTTTAAACAACTGTGATTAGTAAATTTAAAAGCTATTATTTTTTAACATGTAAAAGATTTATTGCCAATTTCTTTTTTTTTTTGTGGATAACATCCATTTTGTTTTTAGTTCCATCTACATCTGAAACAGTTGGTAAGTTTAAGAGTCAATTCTTTTTCAGCAGAGTATTGATTTAATCCCATTTTCAACTATTTTTTGTTTATTTTTATATTGTATATTTTCGTGATATTAGTTGCATCTACATCATTTTTTTTTCTATTAATTACACTTTTTTTACATTAGGCTTTATCGACACCTGCTGCGGATGTCGATATCATTTCTTTTGTTATGGCTATTCTATAGATTTAATATCAAATTCAATTTTCTTATTGATTACAGCTTTTTTTTACTTTTAGTTTCATTAACTTCTACCACATTTGGAAAGTTTAAAAGCTATTTCTTTGTTCACTCTGTATATAATATGTGTATGTAAGGCCAATTTCTAATACTTTTTTTCTTGGTTACACCTTTTTTAATCTATATTTGCCACAGTTAATAAGTTTAAAAGCTACTACTTTTTAATCTGAGCAGCCGTGGCACAGTGGTAACGCACTTGCTTCAGAAACGTAAGATCCGTGGTTCACACCCCACCTCTGGGCAAGTTTTGCGACATCGGTTGGGAAGGAAGCGTGAACTTCCTATTAAATGCTCTTCCGCGGTGCTCTGTGATAAGACCGTAAGGACTTCTTGGGGCACCTTAATCAACTTAAAAAAAAATAAATAAAAGATTTCTGTAATAATTTAATGCCTAAATCAAATATTTTTTTGTTGATTACATCCTTTTCACAAATAGTAAGTTTAAAAACTAATTATTTTTCAGCAGTGTTTTGATTTTTCTAAAAAAGTCATTTTGTTAATTATATATATATATTTTTTTTGATTTTTAGCTGCATCTACATCTGCTTTGGTTGGTATGTTAAAAAACTATTTCTTTGTTAGCAGTGCATAGTCTATCTCATTAAAATTATACTATAGATTTAATCCCAATTTCATTTTATTTTTGTTGTTTACATCATTTTTTAACTTTTAGTTCCTGCAGCACAATCTTC